GATTAATTAATAGTTCTGAATTATCCACTCCTTCGACATCATCAGCGCTAACAATTCTTTCCTTTTCGTGATTCACACAGGCGATAGTGTGCGAAGCAGTGGGATTAGAGGACGTGGTGGCTGATGCTCCGAGATTGGTGGTGGCTCGCGTTCCCACCTGCGCCGGCGACATTCGAGCCGGTAGTACGGCGGACCAAATAAGAGAAGTCCGATTTCTGTCCAGCCTGTCCGATCCGAACGTGGCTCGGATCCTGGGAGTGTGCACCGTGGAACCAGTCCCGTGGACGATCATCGAGTACACGGAACTCGGTGATCTCGCCCATTATCTTCAGTACAGTGTGCCACTTACGGGAACGCTTAGGCCAAGCTGCAATTTGAAAGCCCTTAGGTGAGATACCGCTATTCGCCGATTCTAAAGCGACGCATACGTAGATGCATACAAGCGGACTTGTACGAGCGTTACGAAATGAAATGACGATGCTCACCACACCGATCACATATAATAATTCACGGATGAATAATGTATGTCACTTGTCACGCGCGGCCTCTCTTTTATTCGGCACAATCGTACGTGCCTGGTTCGTTTATAACACACCCGATTGATCTTAATAACACTTCCGCGTTGTACAGCTTCCGATTATATACGATTACGGGATCTTATATATTCCTTCGTTGCTCCGATAATAATTAACGTGATACATTATTAGATGCTCGTGAAAATAAATTTCAATTTCTATGTGTGCGTCGATATGGAGATTTATTTATTGACGAGTTGATAGGTTTTAATGTGTTTTGGTGCGGAGTTTAGACAGATAAAAGTTATGATGTCACTATCAGATTACAGATTTTCATGCGTCCGCAGAAAATTTAAAAGCTCCGCGAAATACAGGCGTAACAATTTTTCAAAGATATAAAACACATCCCCTTTGCGTCACGTTTTCGTTATCAAGTTCAACATTTTTGCCATCTGTAACATAATAATTCGTAGTTTTTCAAAACGGACGTAAGAAAAATTATATATTTAAATAGAAAGGAATTTCCAGAATTTTACATCGTAATTCAAGCCATAAATATTATCTTATGATCGAAACGAGCGAAATTCTGAATCAACGAATGTGTGAAAGCAACGCGATCTTAGAGATAGAAATCATCTCGTTCGTATGAAAATGCTATTAACGAACGTGGAGACAGATTCAAACACAATTATTATATTTCTCGTAATTTCAGTCAAAGTTGCCTGATGTACATGGGGGCGCAGATAGCATCGGGCATGAGGTTCCTCGAGTCGAAGAATCTGGTGCACAAGGACCTAGCAGCCAGAAACTGTCTAGTGGGCCGCTCTTACACCGTGAAAGTGACCGACATAGCGATGTGCAGTGACCTTTACAAGAAGGATTACAGTGACATAGGAGGCAGACCGCCGGCGCCAATCAGATGGCTGCCGTGGGAAAGCATTCTGCTGGTAAGGCTGAGATGATTTTCGTTGGGCCGGCGAATCTTGGTTCACGTCTTTAACGAGCACGTTCTAGATCGATCCGTAAATGGCAATAGTACCAATGAACTTGCGCGTTTCGATTCTAGGACAGGTACACTTGCTCCAGCAGTGTCTGGTCGTTCGCTGTCACTCTGTGGGAAGTGATGAGCCTGGCCAGAGAGAAGCCGTTCCAACATTTAACCAATGATCAGGTGATACAGAACGCCGAGCACATGTACTACGGGGCCGAGTTACAGGTATTCGAATGTTATCTTCTACTTCTTTGTAGTATACTTTGAGAATAAATATAGGATTGTTAGATATGGATAGATAAATTTTTATTCAAAAGTAGATAAAGTTTTTCGTTAATTTAATTCGATTCAACTTCATTTTTCATTTCAGTTTATTTTCATTTTAACAGACGGCACTGCGTATTACAATGCAACATTTTAATTTATCTATATTATTGATGAATTAATTAAACAGAGAGGAATAGTATCGCCTCGTGCTTTTCCTCCCTAACAAATTTGTATCTTCATTCCAGATATATCTGCCGAAGCCAACGATGTGCCCGGAGGAAGTCTACAAGATGATGTGCTCGTGCTGGCGGAGGGACGAGACCTCGAGACCGACGTTCAAAGACATTTACACGTTCCTGAAAAATATAATCGCGGACTATCGACCTGGTGCATAAAACGATCCCAGTTAACTGTGATACATGAAAAACGAACGATGAATGTCCCTTTTAGAACCGATTAAAAAAAAAAAAAAAAGAAAAAAAGGAAACAAATCCCGACGTTCCATCGGGACTCGACGGAAGTGTACAATCGTTAGTTTTAGTGCATGCCGTGGAGAACGAGCCGCGTTGAATCTCGAGATTTTTCTCGATCATAGAGATGATGAGATCGGAAAGGAGAGAAATTATCGCGATGCCGAATAATCGAAGCAAGACGAAACCTCGGAAGGAGTTCTTCTTTTCTCAATCTCTATCACCGACTGTGTCGATCGGGCAAAAATACCATTAAAAAATATATATATATATAT